TATTCGATACCTTAGAGTATCTACGTACAAGTATTCAATAGGAGCCGAAAGTCAAGTACAAGCCCTAACAAACGCCCACCCCACCCCCAGCACCGCGGGCCATGTCTTTGAACACACACCAACGAGCTGTTTCCGCCAGCTCTTGTTGTAAGGCAAACAGCCCACACCGCTGTGACCCCGGATCTGTTACTCGGTCAGTGGGTGATTGGCGAACGGGTGTTCTGGTGTGTCTTCTATTAAGTGTTTTACGGCCCTTGCGACACAATAAGGTCATATAAGTGCCGAAGGTTATAGGTGTTACAAGAGAGTAACTCACACAAAAAAGTAGAAGGAGAGATAAGGACGATAGATGTTTGATAGGAAAGAAGAAGCAAACCACACCAGAGCACCCGCCAACCACCCACAGCGGTTTGCCTTTTTTCTTATCACACGTCTATCGTCCTCATCTCTCCTTTTTGGTGTTTGTTACCCTTGTGACACCTTCCATCTTCAGCACTTATATATGACCTTATTGTGTTGCAAGTGCCATTACTAAACTAACACAAGGTCAAATCAGTTCGGAATGAGGGGGGGGGGGGATTTCAAAGTTTACTTTCACCCAACAAGTCTACAGTAACAACTTCCCCCAAAACTACCTTGCGTACCGTTACGATCTTTGACACTACAGAAGCCTCATCACTAACGTAGGCCATACAGTGAGTTAGATTTAGTAAAGGTTTTACGGCGCTCGCAACTGCATAAGACCATTTGAGCGCCAGAGGATTAGAGGTGTTACAAGAGAGTAACAAACATTTTTTAAAAAGAAGAAGGGAAGATAAGGACTATAGATGTTTGATAGGAAAGAAGAAGCAAACCACACCAGAGCACCCGCCAACCACCCACACATACAGTGAAAGCTCGGTTTAACGTACACTGCTTAAAACGTACTATCACTCCACTATCAGGTAAAACGTTCACTTTCTGAAGCCCAAAGCCCCGTTAAATATCCTTAACTCCTTTAGGCCAATATCCATGCCTCGGCTAAGACGTTCAAAATTCGCGGGTCCGACGAATGGAGAATGGAGTACATAATGCCAAGGTATTACTGTATTACATATAGATAAGACAATATAAGATAAGATAAGATGAGACAAAAACCAATTCCGTTAAGCTTGGCGTAACTCCCAAAGATTCAAGTTCATTCCATACCCCCTTAAAAAGTATTTTCTTTACAAACATAAATGCATAACAACACAAGTACAGTGGAAACTGTATAAAATGGCCAGCCATTGTAGAGGAAAAAAGAGGTTGTCTTAGACACGTGGACGTCTTACAAGGTCACTACAATGTAAAAAAAACAAAAAACACAAAAAACAAAAACACAAGGAAGGGTGGAAATGGGAAGTGTCCGTTTGTACAATACAGGTGATGGCTCGTATACAGGTGGCCATTAGAGCATGTTCACCATTTAAAAACATATCATGCACAAAGACACAAGTATTTTACAGTAGACTATTACTGTGGTAGAAGTCTTTGCTCCTGCTGTTGGTGGTTAAAAGCAATAAGGATAATCTGCCCCATATGCGCGATCAAAATGCACAATAAAAAATATTTCACTAAACTCAGTATATCCCAGTGCATGACAGACAGAGCTGTAAACCTTACACCTAACAATAAAGTGGGGGTTTTTTTGTAAGTGTATTACTGCGCTCGCAACTGCATAGGGTCATATGAGCGCGCGGGACACACCAAACATTTTCAATTGATAGGAAATTTTGAATTTTGTCCAGGTGGCGGCCGAATCCTACTCGTAATCGATTTTGGACCACCAAGGGATCTTTAACGTATGCAACTTGCACACGAGTCCTCCGAGATTTTTTGCCCTTGTCCGGGAAGGCTAGGTGCAGATATTTCCTTCCAGAAGATTTGGGATGTGGCTGAAAGACAGCAGTAAAAAGGAGCCAAGGAGTAGCAGTAGAAAGGCTGCAGAAAGAGTCACAAGCCCAGTGGAGGGGGCGAAGGAGGTGAGGTTAAAAAAGCGCAGACGAAAGCAGACGACAGAATATTGCAAGAGAGAAGGAAAGAAAGTAAAAGGAGACAATTTTAGAGAATAAAATTATTCAGTGGCTACCTGGATTTGAACACGGGGCCTTTGAATGAGAGGCAAACACCTTACTCTAGGCCACGAGAGCCCCCTAATAAAGGCACGCACTAATTATAGGCCATGCAGTATTTCCTCACCATATCGTGGTTCCTAGTTTGCCGACTAGGTACGTCGTGTTTTTTATAGCCAAAAATAAGAAAAAACCATGACTCAAGTTTTAGTGTCTTCACTGGTGAGTACCCATCAGGAATTTTACTTTTGGTAAAATTATTGACAAATATGTCCATATTGTGTTTAATTCCTAACTCATATGACCGTATGCAGTTGTGAGCGCTGTAAAACCCACTACTACTAAAATAATGTTGACCTCTCATACTGTAAGAGTATAAAGCGTTTACACATTGTATAACTTATAGTATAAGAGTGTGGGTGAGGGTTTTTAAGAGTGCAGAGAGGGTTGATAAAGGAGTAATATACTGAGTAATAGGGTCAAAATTGTCTAAGACGGCCAACCAATGTCAAGGCAAGGAGAAAAGTGGACGTACTAGAAATGTGTCTGTCTTACACAGTGTCATTATAATGTAAAACAAAACCAACAAAAAAACAGTGAGGAATTGGAAAGTGACGATTTGTACTAGTGGTCATCATTATACAGGTTTAAAGCAGGTTTGACTGTTAAATATATATAAACTCTACCGATTTTCCCCTAGAGTACAGCATGAGGTTCTGAAATGTAAATCCCACAGTATGCGTGGGGCTACAGAAGCTATGTCAGAGGGTTATTAAAAAGAAAAACAAATCTTCAATGTGACTTGGTAGTCTTTAGACAACACTGATTTTGATAAGAGTTTTGTAACACATACTTACACAAATCGGTTATATAAGTGCATGAGATTAGAGGCGGTACAAGAAAGTAACAAACAAAGAACGAGGGGGTGGAATGAGGATGATAGATGTTTAATAGGAAGGAAGTAGCAAACCACATGAGAGCACCCACCAAGTACCCACACATTCAGTATGGCATTTCATTCAATAGATTCTCCCAAGGTATGTATACCACTAGTGAATATCACTGTGGACATGTACGGCTAGCTAAAATCCTTTTTTTTTTAAATCAAGGAGAACTAATTTGCCTACTACAAGGGCCAATAACACCTACTGGGAAATTAAATTACATTAATAACTGATGTGTATACCTAGTAGGTCACAAGTAGTGTTTCTTTATTAAATCTTTCACTATTTTCAATGTCTGCCAGACATGCAGCAATGTAAAAAAATTTTTGGGACAAAAACACGTCTGAAACCAAACATTGCTTTTAAGTGTACATTGAAGCAAAGACTGACTGAGAGAGCCTTTCAGTTTTCGGAGGCCAGTGGAAGAGCAAACCAGCAAATATATACCTGTTTTATAAAGAAACTTCCCCACCAAGACAACCGATATCAAACAGAAGTGACTAAGGCAGGATTAATTTAACTGTCTTTTTCAACACTTGCCATAAATATGAAAATGACGTGCAACATCATAAGGCTAACAAGCAAGTCTGCCCAAAGAGAGAATGCTCGATGAAGAAAAGAAACAAGAAGACACAGTCACATCAACCGTGGCCTTCTTCTGGCATACTTTGTCAAACATTTTTAGGACGAATATCCTCAGGGTCATTCCACGATTGCCCATATCAATTTCTGGGGGTTCCATAAGACGTCTTTGAAACAAGACATCAAGGGACATAGATAACAATATATTTTCAATCTATTTGTGAGCCAGCATGGTGAAATCAGGCGCTCGTCAAAAAATGAACATGACAAAACTACCAGTTTGGAAATCTTTATCGAATTTTTGTTTTTTAGCTGAACAACATTGTTGTTCAATTAAGAACACATTTTGGGCGGATTTTACTGAAAAACTTTGATAAAAGGCACAAAAAATGTAAGTTTTTAGTTTCCATGGACAATCAAGCTATGGAATAATATGATTTAGGCGGCCATTTCCTTATTAATTTTACCTCTGAAACCATGCGACCCCACCTCCTTCAACTGCAAATATCTCAAATCCTATTCAAGATAAATAGGTAATTTTTTCGTGGATAGCAAGACAAATGATTAAGCTTTAAAATGATACCAATAACTCCACATGCCCAAAAATTGACGAACGACTGATTTCCCCACGTCGTGAAACATTTTGTTATTTCCTTCCTATTTTTTTTTTTTACTGAAAAATAAAGAGAGCCCAAATCATGGTTCTAATTTGGGAGCTCTCTTTTTCTTAGACTTTCTTTTACAAAACTTGAAAAAAAAATAACTAGGGCACTTGTGTAATGGCACTCACAATAAAAATGAGACACTTCATCAGCCTGTTCAAACTTTGGATTTTAAAAAATGACAGTTTCTTAATTAATCTGTGGTAAATGTTGCACATGCTCAAGAGATATCTTGAAAAAAACAACAACTCACAAAGTAGGTACAACTGTTAAAAGAATGTTTAACAGTTGTACCTACATTGTGTGTTTTTTTCTCTCCCCAGCATGCCTAAAGAGGACAGCTCGACTTACTCCATATTTTTAATTCACTTACCTTCACATTAACAATGTATTCTCTATCATCAAGTTAGCCAAGTACACAGGCAAGTGGCAACGTCTTTACAGGGGACCTGGAAAAAATTTTTTAAATTTTCTGTGTCAATGACTCTGGCAACAACAGCTATATTACGCCTGGTTTAGAACATGTATTTAAAACATCTAGATCCAAAAGATGAAAAGGAAGCCCATTGCTTCACCCACTCCTTTGAAGTTTTCCATACTTACTGAAAACCTGAACTTTTTTTCATGACGTACAGCATTGGGTGTTTCTATAGCAACATAGCAAAGAAACAGCGACCTGAATTACCAGGAATTCACCAAAACTACATGCTCAGAAGGCCATGAGTCAGCTTTCGAGCCGTGGTTATGCTAACCAAAAAGTTTTAAAAAAGCTTTGTGATGACATTCTATCCATTAATGGTACAAAATGATGTTGGTGTGCATGTTTCAATGAAAACAGAAGACTAAATATATTTTATCAAGCTGGAAAGAGCATAAGATACCATGAGTGGCTCATTAAGGCAGCACTGACTCTACATCTTCCCAAAAACTAAATGGTAATCAGGTCCAGGCGGTAGTGATCTGCCCCTTCAATCAAAACCCCTTAGTAGCTGAATGCAAACTGTTACAAAAAACCCCAAAAAACCCCTCTAAACACTATACTATACACACAACTAATAATGAGTATTGAAATCATAATCAGGAAGACTGATCAACACTTGTCAGCTCCTATCAAAGTTGGAACTCACAGACATTTCAGCCTGACATAACAAATAATCGTCAGCAAAAAGAAGTGTCAGGGTCAGGCCTATGACAAAACTCTAAAAGAGATGGAATAGTAGCCAACTATAATAATATCAGCATTCTCCAGCTTTGGCCCCAACAGTACTGGATATTGATACTGACATAGCCTAAATCGGTCCTCAGAGAAATACGCGCCTATTTTTGTGAAATTGTGAATTTTAGCCAATTTTCCACAAAAGTTGGAAAAATAATAATAGAATTTCCTTAAAAATAATCGAAACTTTCTTCCACGATTAAAAATTATAAAATAATGACGCCAAGGTTGACAATTCGTACCTGAAATAGATCTACCACTTCCTTTGTACAGGGTGCCCAGTGCCCACTTCCGATAGGATCTGGTCCGGCCGGGTCGGGATGAACGCCAAACTCGTCGCCTCAAATCAACCTGTTTATTTTTGAGGCAACGAGTCGTGCGCAATCGACTTGAGCCACGATAGCCGCTTTGCGCCATCAATCTGGCGAGCAACCCGACCCGAGCCGACCAGATCTCCCAATAGTCCTGTTTGGACAGAATCATCTTCTAGCTAGATATAGATTTAGGATCTAGAGTAAATCTATCGTAAACACGATCATCTGATTACTTAGCTTGCTTGGATCCGTAGCACCAGGTAGATAGATCTAATACATGTATAAAGATTTATGAAAGACTTTAAATCTTATACGGGCGCCCACAACGGCTGGATTGGGCCGATCGCCCGACTCGGTTGCCTGAAACTGAAAACAAACATGTTTGTTTTTGAGGCGACCAAGTCGGGCGATCGACCCCGTATTAGGCTAGGAGGGTAGACCTAGACATGAATCGATTCATCCAGAAAACCCCTAAAGTAGGGGACGTTAAAATGCCATATCTTACGCCTGGAAAAAAAG